CTCTCTATCATCTCTTCAGGAAGTAATATGTCTGCTGAGAAATGTGCTCTGTATGTTTGTAACTTAAGCCACACAAGTAAAGCCTGAACTCTGCTATCACTACCAGTGTCTTCTATAACACATAACCAACACCCCCCCAAATGACTCCTTTTTGGAAAGAAATTAAATATTTTTTTTCACAATTGTTTTTTTTTTACACACTGTCACCAGTGCAGTACAATGTCATCATATGGCTGGTGTGTCGGTGGTCAGGGATACGGACTGGTGACAGTATGCAAAAAATAGATAATTTTTTTTCATTTTTTTTTACTTTTTTTTGTCTTTTTTTACATTTTGTTACATACTGTGACCAGAGCAGTGAAGTGTTACCACGGCACTACTCTGGGGAGGTGATCATTATTTTTTTTTTTTAACATTATGATTGCTTATAACTGATTATTGCTGCTATAAGCAATTATTTTTCTGAATGGCATCCATTCATTCAGAGCCATTCATTGAGTAGTATTGTGATTAGCTGTGATTTTCCCTGTCTGTACCATGTGATCACTGTGACCAATCACAGAGATCATCACAAAAGTACACAAAGAACAGCTAAAGAATGAAAGCCATTCATTATGTAGAAATATCATGTGACTGCTGTGATTGGTCACAGAGGGACTGACCCGGTGTATTGATCGGTCATCAGCTGGACAGATCTCACAGCGCTGCCCCTATGATGTCCTTGCAGATCTAGGAAGCTCCGGCTCGACTGTCAATTGACAATAGGCTAGGTGGGACAATTTAAAATGAAATTACCATCACAGTTACTTTAATGACAATTTTTTTTAACCTCCCTGGCAGTATTCCCGAGTGTAGCCCGGGGTAAAGTTTCAGTACCAAAAGCGGTAACACCCGAGCTACACTCGGGATTACCCTGCAGCGTTGCTCTGGGATTCCCTCCAGCACTTACCTTGTCCTGCGCTCCCGCGATGTCCCCCCTGCAGCGTCCCCGGCCATCTCCTCCGGCCGATGCTGGCATCTGTCTTCTGGGTTCCGGTCCCTGCGAGTGTCGGGACGTACGGGGATGGAACCGGCGGGAAATTTGAAAATTTTAAAAACTGACATTCACTAATACACTAAAATCACATAGTATAACATTAATGTATCAAACCATTTCACATACATTTTGTCCCGAGTGCTTTGTCCTGAGCCCTGCCTGCATTTTTTTGTTCTTTCTGCCTGGAAACTGAGAAATGTCCATGGCGTCCAAAAAGCGTCCCTTTAGGTCAAAAGCGGTTTTAGACCAGCTAGAGATCAGCAATAGTAAATTAGAACCACTTGCAGAATTGAGTGATAATGATTCGTGGGGGGGAAATTCCTTATCAGACACTGAAAACGATTTTGCGACTGAGCTCAGTGATGTGCAAACTTGGCGCTCTATTTCAAATTTCAGTGTTTTTGGTTTGATTACATTATTGAATTAAATTGATAATTATTATATTATTATTTTTTATGATTATTTATTATATTATAATTTATGATTTCGTGTGTTTCAAGTTTTATTCTACCCGGGATGTTTACTAGACTCTTGTTCAGACAGATTTCAGTGAGTTATTCCTAAGAATTACAGGTCTACAATAAAAAAAGACATATTTCCATGCAAAAAAATGTACCGCTTTGAGCACAGAAATATTATTATAATACAGGATTTATATAGCGCCAACAGTTTGCTCAGCGCTTTACAATATAAAGGGAGACAATACAGCAACAATACAGTTCAATACAAGAGGGAAAGGAGGGCTTGATCCTTGGAGCTTACAATCTAGGTGAATATGGACATAATCAGAGATTGTAAGCTCGAAAGAGCAGGGCCCTTGAACCCCTCGTGTATCGTATTGTACTGTATTGTCTCATGTTCTGTCCCCCTCGCTAATGTACAGCGCTGAGCAAACCCTTTGGTGATATATAAATACTGTATAATAATAATAATAATCAGACCGCTAGGGAGGTTAACAAAAAAAACTACAAAAAATGTTTCATTAAGTTATCAATCTCTATGTCTGTATGGAAGTGACCATTTTTTGGTCACTTCCATGCAGATGTAGAGTTTGGTAAATTAGTGAAATATATACTCCAGGCTTTACCTGCTAATAGGCTAGGCTTGATTTGCAGCTGGTAAATCTTCTTCAGGTCCATTATTGTTGGAATGTGTCAGACTCAAGGCTTTCAGAAAACCACAACCTATGCACAGAACGGATAATTTGTATTTATGGAATCACATTTGGACACCTGGGAGTCTCACACCAATGAGCATAATGTCCTTTTACTATACTAATGGGTCATTGGATTCCATGAGAAGAGCCTTCATTGCAGTGCCGTGGTGTCCTCTCTGTCACCTGGGATGTCACTGTACATCCAAGATATAAATTGGATCTGGAGAACTGTGGGAGAGAGATACTAATGATCTACTTACCTGTCAGCAGAGGTGGTTGTGGCAAATTACTTTGTCACATTATGCACTGATCTGAAAAGAGATAGTCGTTTGTGGAATCTGAAGAAGGCATCCCCCCTGGGTAAGTGTCGTAGATGCCTTGACATCAGACTATTTTCTAAAATATCAAGGGTGTCATTAATTTAACTCTTGTTTTACCAGTGCTGCCAGCATTAGATAGCTAATATGGAGTTTTAGGGATGTGAGATCGGTTTAAAGAGATAGCACAGTGGCTAAATGGTTAGCACTTCCACCTGGCAGTACTAGGGTCAACCACAGCACCACCTGCCTGGAGTTTGCATGTTCTCCCTGTGCCTGTGTGGGTTTTCCTCCCACACTCTAAAGACATGCTGGTAGGTTAATTGGCTTCTGTCTAAATTGGCCTTAGTATGTGTACAGTTGCAAGAAAAAGTATGTGAACCCCTTGGGATTACATAGAGTTTCGCATGAATTGGGCATAAACTTTCTCCATTTATAGACAGCCTGTCTTACCGTGGACACATGAACATCAAGGCTTTTGGAGATACTTTTGTAACCCTTTCCAGCTTCATGCAAGTCAACAATTCTTGATCGTAGGTCTTCTGAGAGCTCTTTTCTGCGAGGCATGGTTCACATCAGACAGTGCTTCTTGAAACCAGTAAACCCAAATTAGGTGTGTGTTTTTTAAGGGCAGGACAGCTGTCAGCGACACATCCAATATCATCACACTGATTGGAGTCAAGGTTGGCTCACTCCTGGCTCCAATTAGCTCTGGGAGAAGTCATTAAGCTAGGGCCTCACATACTTTTTCCTCCCTGCATTGTAAATGTTTACATGTTATGTGCAATTAAACCATGGCAACATCTAATGTTTGTGTAGTATTATGTTCAGCAGACTGTGTTCTTCTATTGTTGTGACTTAGATGACGTTCAGAGCACATTTTATGCCCAATTCATGCAAAACTCCACGTAATCCCAAGGGGTTCACATACTTTTTCTTGCAACTGTTAGGGACCTTAGATTGTACGCTCCTTGAGGGTTAGGGACTAATGTGAATGTACAATATATATGTAAAGCAAATTGACTGTGCTATAAGTACCTATAATAAATATTAAAGTGATACTAAAGCTTTGGGTTTTTTTAGTAGTTTTGCACACAGCTGCCCCGTTCCTCTTCTTTTTCAGGTCCCCTGCCAGCGCTCTGGCTCCTCCGCCTTAAGCAGTGCCCCCAGGTAAAGCTGCTTGCCCTGGGGGCACCACTGTGTGCTCGTCTCTGAGCCACTACTCTATGCGTCCATAAGACACATAGGGCCGTGGCTTAGCCCCGCTCTCCACTCACTCCTGATTGGTTCACTGGCTGTGATTGACAGCAGTGGGAGCTGATTAGCTCAGCCTGTGAGGAGGAAGGGTCCCCATACAGCTGAGACTATTGTGAACATAGCTGGATCTGAGGGGGCTCAGGCAAGGATTGTGGGATTGGGGGGGGGGGGGGGGGGGCTAGGGGGCCACTGCACACAGAAGGTTTTTTGCCTTCATGCATAGAACCTTGAGCCTTTTGAACACGGTTGTCAAACTGGTGGCCCTCCAGCTGTTGCCAAATTACAAGTCCCATAAGGCACTGCAAGTTTTACAATTACAAGCATGATTCCCAAAGTCAGAGGCATGATGGGACTTGTGGTTTCGCAACAGCTGGAGGGCCGCCAGTTTGACACCCCTGCTTTAGAACCACTTTAAATCCCAAACCAAAAATGTATTATATTGCAGCTTACCAATCATCAGATGTGGTAGCTGCATTTGCTTTCTTTTATTTAGTTTTTTTTTTCTCTCCTGTAGTCACCTGGTGATCTGTCCAGTAACACACCTCCTGTATTAGTGTGACACCACTTTGGAGGAATGAGCACAGGACACAGTAGCATTGTCAGCCTGGGGAGTGGGTAGTGTTACATGTATTAGCAGATTTAGCAAATTTAAATTTGGACTTAACTAATTGAAGCCAAATCCAGCTCACACTTTATAATTCGTTACAGTAATACATTTTTTTCTTTTTGGTATAAAGGTTTTGCATGAATAAATAAAAGCTGATCATTGTAAGCACCCCTGTCAGTGTTAAGTGGATTGTCTCTGGAGAACCTGAGCTTGTGAAAAACAACAGACTTGGTGGATCACCAGGTGAAAATAGAAGAAAGACTTAAATAGGAAACGAATGCAGCCTTCACATCTAAGAATTGGTAGGCTGCAGTATAATAAATGTTTGCTTACTTTAATGTTTGTCAAATTCTATACTAAAGCGTCATATCATTTCAGCCTTAACCACTTCCATACCGGGCACTTTTACCCCCTTCCTGCCCAGGCCAATTTTCAGCTTTCAGCGCTGTTGCACTTTGAATGACAGTTGTGCGGTCATGCAACACTGTACCCAAACAACATTTTTATAGTTTTTTTTAGACAGATAGAGCTTTCTTTTGGTGGTATTTAATCACCTCTGGGTTTTTTATTTTTTGCTAAACAAACTGAAAATTTTGGGGAAAAAAAAAAGGTTTTTCTTAGTTTCTGTTATAAAAATTTTGTAAATAAGTAATTTTTCTCCTTCACTGATTAATGAAGCTGTAGTGATGGGCACTGATAGGCGGTACTGATGAGGAGGCACTGATAGGTGGCACTGATGGGCATTGGCAGGCATCACTTGTGGGTATTGACAGGCATCACTGATGGGCACTGAAAGGAAGTTCTCGTATATGGCACTGATAGGCTGCACTGATCGAAACTGTTACGTGGCACTGACTGGCACTGATAGGCAGCACTGATAGTTGGCACTGAAAGGCAGCTCTGGTGGGCACTGATATGTGGCATTGATGTGCACTGGTAGGCACTGATATGTGGCATTGATGTGCACTGGTAGGCACTGATATGTGGCATTGATGTGCACTGGTAGGCACTGATATGTGGCATTGATGTGTACTGGTAGGCACTGATATGTGGTGGGCATTGATGTGCACTGTGTGGGGCACTGATATGTGGCATTGATGTGCACTGGTAGGCACTGATATGTGGCATTGATGTGCACTGGTAGGCACTGATATGTGGCATTGATGTGCACTGGTGGGCACTGGTATGTGGCATTGATGGGCACTGACAGGTTGCATTGATGGGGCTACACTGATCTTCAGGGCACTCATCATCAGTGCCCTGATGATTAATATAGAAGTCCCCTCTGGGGAATGCCACTTACCGGGTCTCCTCTCCTCATGCACTGTTGACTTTCCTTGTGTACATGCGATCAGCGGTGATTGGACACAGCTGATCACATGGCAGAGCCAACGTCATCGGCTCTTTACTGTGATCCGCTGTGTCCCAGGGACACAGCGCACCACCAATTGGAGTGGCGCACCACCCGGGGGTGCGCATGCGCAGTAAGTGTGGGTGGACATCATATGACATCCTCCCAGAACAAGAGAACCGCCGCACCCCCTGTCATTTCCTATTATGGCGGGTTGGAGGGGGTTAAAGTGACACTAAATGATATCCTTCTTTTCCAAACAAATAGTCCATACACATCTGCTTAATGTTCCTGTAATCTATTTTAAATAATGCCTTCTTGACGCTTGTAGAAGAGCGGCCCACCAAGGATCACTCATCCGAGGGCTACCTTTATTTTAAACGGGTCTTTAAATTAAAGGTCTCAAACCTGGGCAATTCAGACTAAGCATATGTAAAAAATATGTGGGTAGGGATTACATTCAGTGAACATTGTACAGTATGTAAAAAGTGTTGGCAGATCCAGAGATAAGGACCACCAACATTATTTGCACATCTCAACAATTTTTTTTTTTTTTGTAGAGAATTGAGTTTGGCTCCTTCTATTTTTGCCATCAATAGCAGTGTGGTGCTGCCACTTACAAGGACCCATAAGCTGGCTGGGAAGAAGCAGGAGCATGGCCAACCTCATCTCATAGGCTACGTTCACACTAGCTTTGTCAGCAGGTGTTTGGGAAGCGTTTTTTTTTTTTAACGCTTCTCAAACGCCTATGAAAATTCTGCACATGGCAGAACACAGTGCTGTTCACACAGAAGCGTCAGCGTCACAGCAAAACTGATGCCTCGTGTCGAGTCATGAGGAGTTGAAGCCTCCCATTCAAGTCTATGGTGCCACTCTGCAAACGCTTGGTGATTGCGAGGCGGTTGTGGAGTGTTAATACCATTTAACTTCATTATAGGAGTTTGTGGTGCGGTTTTAACGCTTGGCAAACACCCATCAACCACCTCAAAACCGCTCATAGGGCGTTTGGGGAGCGTTAAAAACGCTTCCCAAACACCTATCAAATGCTATAGGGGCGTTTGGCAGGAGTTAGAAATTAAGTCAAGTGTGAACGAGCTCTAACAGGAAAAGCCAAGAATTGATATAACTTCAGTTGTCTATATCTCTGAATCTATTGATCATTTTGACATTTATTAAATGCTGTGTATTCATTTTTATTATATCACAGATTTGCTGTGTAGCTACTAGTAAGCTTTTCCTTTTGGGCAATGGTATGGTATAAAGAGATATAAACAATGAATCTGGAAAGCTGCTCTGTTGCTAAAATGAAAGCGGTAATAAATGGGCTTCCTGCAAAGAAGATAGTAAATACTTACTGCCTGTGCCGCCAAATGCTGCTCTAATGAAGATAAATCATGGTCGCTTTGAAAACCAGCACTTACAGAAACGTTCTAATTCTTCCTATAATAAAATCTTGTATAGGTGTTATTGCACTCTGGCCAGCTTGGCTCGTTTCATACCGACATGTCCCTCTATCTGCTTCAGTGGCTTTTCCTACGAGGGCACAATGACTCACCTTTGCTGGACTTGCTCAATGGTGAGCGGACTCTGGATATGGGTTTGTTATCTCACTCGCACACTGCTAAATGCTAGTTAAAACCCTTACGAAGCATTGCTCAATAAACTTGTTTTTGACCTTTTCTGTATAAAAGAGGCATTGGTCCTCCATAGTTTTCGTGGCCACCAGACTCACAATAGCTAGGGCCTGGAAGACTCCACCCTAAGGCAGGCCATAGATGATGTAGATTTCCCCATCAACACAGTCATTGTTGATGGAGGAATGGCTCCTGCAGAGCTATTGTGTTCTCCCAGGAGGGGGAGCTGTTCTTGTCAGAAGAACACAATGACTATGGGCAGCACAGTGGCTAAATGGTTAGTGTAACAAGCGTGCACACAGTGAAGGACGCAGCCTCCATTTTGTTAAGAATCTTTATTTTTCTCCCCTCATACTTTCCCTCCTTGCTCTCTGTTCATACACATTGACATATGGCTTGTGTGTTAAAAAGTGTCACAGGCCAGAGCACAGCAGGGAACCCCAGAGCTATAAAACATTTCTGAGTGTAATGCTGGGTTGTATACCAGAGCTGTACAATTTAGCACCTTGTAAAAAGATAACGCAGCCTTCCCAGGAGTTCAAGGCATTCCAGAGAAGCAGGAAACCAGATAACCTTTTTAAAAATCAATTTTTCCCCTATGTCTCATATCTTGGAGTATGAGAGACTTACATAAAAACCAGGCATATCTTCAGATTGGCCATGAGGAGACAAACAGTTTGGTACATCACACTCCCTGACTGGAATACATAGGAAAGAAGAAAAGTAGATCTCGTGAACCATTCAAATATGTATGTCATATTTCATATCTACCCGCTCCTCAGAGGCAGCTGCATAATAATCTACCCGCGGGTGGAATGTCACTTGTGCATAGGAAAAGTTATGAGCAAAATATGAGTTAGGAGAGAGATTTTGGCTATAGTTTATGCCTCTGCCCGACGATCCCTCCCTAAACGGGGCATTGGTCCTTGACTTCAGAGACACCCCCTGCTAGGGAACCACAAAATGGACTGTCAGGCCTAAGAGAGCTAAGTTGAAGAATTCTCCCACTTTAACATCAGTACCACCTGGGGAGACCCGTACCCTTTTGCTCTGAAACTTGATCTGCTAACCCAGGACTTTGACAAGTACTTTAACCCTTTAACCTCTCTCTGTCTCTCAGCAATCGTGGGATCGTCGCATATTGATGGCAGCGACAGTTAGCACTTCCGCCTGACAGTGCTAGGGTCGCTGGTTCAAATCCCAACCACGACACCACCTGCCATGCTCTCCCTGTGCCTGTGTGGGTACTCCAGTTTTCTCCCACACTCTAAAGACATGCTGGTAGGTGAATTGGCTTTCTCTCTAAATTGGCCCAAGTATGCGTGTGTATGAATGTGAGTTAGGGACCTTAGATTGTACACCCCTTGAGGGTTAGGGACTGATGTGAATGTACAATTTATGTATGTAAATTGATGGTGCTATAGAAGCACCTGAAATAATTAAATATTGCTAGTGGCTATAGCTGCTGGCAATAATGGCATGGTAGAAAATAGGGATGCACTCTTTTTTAATCGGCGAGTATGAGTACCAATGCTTTCAGTCAAGTATTCACTGATACTGAGTGTGGTGCAGTTTGCGTCTATACATAATGTATGGACGCAAATTGCACTGCAAAGAATAGCATGCGATTTGAACTAGAATGCGATTGCTGTCCAAATCACATGCAGTTTCTCCATTGTTCCTGTGTGAACCCAAGCTTGTCAGAGCCTGAATCCAAACCCCTATTCAATCTGCGCAACACACCCAAAATAATATGATAGTGCTCTAAATAGTTGCTGCTAAAACAATGTTATTGACTTTACAACACCTGTACCAAAACGAATAACAATAAAGTGTAGCATAACATACTAATATCTCATATGAAAATAAATATAAAACAATAATTAAAGCGGAGCTCCACCCAGAAGGGGAAGTTCCGCTTTAAGCTATTCTTCCATCGCTCCTCGTTAAGGATTGGCACCTTTGGGGAGCGGGTACCCGAATTGGACAGGTACCCGCTCCCACTTCTGCTGCAATCGCCTAGGCGATCGGAAGTGGAAGTTGTCCCCCCCTCCTCGTAGTCTTCTGGGACATGTGACAGGTCTCAGAAGACTACGGGGCCATTCACACAGCGCAGCGCTTCTTGCGCATGCGCAGTGGACACCGACTGTGAAGCCGCAAGCTGTCACAGCCGGGTGCCCACACTGAAGATGCCGGCGCCAGGGAGAGAAGATGACCGGTAAAACCAGCCATGGTGAGGACACAGCTGGATCGTGGGACAGGTAAGTGTCTGTATTTTAAGTTTACAGTTTTTGTAGCGGCCGACTTTTATAAAAAATTTTTAGGTGGAACTCCGCTTTAAAGTCCCATGAAAAAGTCCCTTATAACACCACTGTGAAATGTGTATAAGATAAATCTTCTCTCTTCTTCAGTGCCAACCGTGCCACCACCATTAGGTGAAAAACCTGCTCACCTTACTTTATGACATCATCAATAGGTCATTATGCGCTCAATATGTGGACAGACTTGTGTACACCCTTTCTGGTCTTCCTCCAGCTCCTCTCCCAGCACCGCCACAGTATACACTCCTCCAGCTGACACTCTCATATAATATGTATTATGGAAAAGAGAAAAGTGGGAACCATAGTGCTCCCTATTTATAAAACAACTTATTAGTGCCCAGATTAAAAACTCAAAATGTAAGAAACAAGCCAGCATGTAATGTATTATTTCGTTACATGGCTCACCACCCCGCACTCCCAAATGGTCATCAATTCAAAACTTCTAGGGCTTAGCTCCTTCCACCTATACGCGTTGCGCCCCAGATTTGGGCTTCCTCAGTAGGCCAAAAATAAGCAGTTAGCCCTTGTTGTTCAGGCAGAGTAAGTGGAGCAGCTGGATCATGGGGGAGCTCTGTTTGCCGCTGGAGCTGAGGATCGGGTATAGGTTTTCTGTTCTCCCCTTGACAA